CACTCGCTCAGTATGGGAAGGCTCAGCGCTCGAGTGGTTATGAAGGGTTTGCAGGCTTGAATAAGACTCGGTGAGGCCTTTACCAAAATTTGGGGCGCCACCAGAAATCAAAATATCAGGGAAAACGGTATCGCCCAAAGATGATAGATTTACTATGGCCCTAACATCCCTTAAGATAGTGGACATGGGACCGAGAGGAAAAACAAAAGTATTATACTCAGAAGACCAAAAACTTAAAGCGATTGGAAAAAGTACTGGGTCAAAAATAGGGGGTTGAAGAGAGATTTCTAACAAATCAGAAATCCTAACATTATCAAAAATTGCCTCAGTAGGACCATGGTCCACAAGGCGAGCATGCCATCTACGAAAAACGACATCAAATTTAGGTCAAGTGCGAATACCTCTTTCGCGAAGTGGCCCCAGCGACAAAGAATGTAGAAACGGAGGGCCCTGAGTACAAGGGAACAGTTGACCGACCGCCGCTTGTTCGATGGCCTCGGCATTGTTGAATGAAGGACCTAGATAGAACTCATTGAGCTCGATACTGGCCGGTGCAAGAAAGTTCGGAGTTACATATGGCCGAGTAAGGAGTTTTTGAAAGTCTTCGAAATTGAAGGAATTACCAGATTGAGATTGAGAAGCAGCCATTAGGGACGAAATAGAGTTTTACAGAGTTACGTAGCAAAGAAGCAAGGAAATGAACAGTAATATTGCAAGAGAGGCGCGAAAAAATGAGGCGTGATTTAGTGGTGCAATGAAATAGCGTATTTGGGGGTTATAAGGGTCTGCAAACGTCGCACCTTTTCAGGCTATGGAAGAAAACAATGATTGATATTCTTGGAAACTTCGAATGTTGCTGGGAAAGACAAAGTGAATATGACAAAAATTAATAATTGGTATTAATTCTGCCATATTGGGGGGTAATTGTTGACACACAAAAAGTTCAGCCCAAGTTGAATAGCTTAAGGAATGAAACCCAATTAGAAAATCCCCAAAATCAAATAGCCCAAAGAACGACCTAGTCGGGCAATGCAGGATAAAGGCCCAAATAAGGAAGCCCATGAACGCGGAAATACCATCGCCCAGGGTTGCAAGTCGCCCAAGATTTGAGCGAATAAATTGCCATGCAGTCGCCCAGAGCTGTGACTCTGCTCTCGTCTAAACATTCAAGTCGCCCAGCATCTTAGCAAATATAAGAAGTTATGGTTATCCAAAAGTGCAGTTAATGAAGCAGTTATTAGGTAGTCCTATCACGTTCCACGATTCAAGGAATTCAATTGAAGACGATTGAACGACAAAAGTAATGGCAGCAGTTAGAGAAGGCAGTTCCATGACAAGTTGGTCACTACAAGGGAAGTGGGCAGTTATAGAGCGATTAAGCAGTTTCTTAAGCGATTGATCACGAAGAAATCATCTAGAGAGTATAAAAGGAAGAAAAGACATAGAGCAAAGGACCCCGAATCAAACACTTTCAAATAGAGAATATGTAACTTTCAATTTCTTAATTTAGATTTAAACACTTCTTTTACAGTAACTCGTGTGCTTGCGCCCCTTGGAGGCATTCTGTTTTTACTTCCCAATTGTAAAGTCATCGCCAATAAAAAATGCCCATTTTTGGGACTTTGTTTCAAGATGTTTGTTCCTTACACAATCGTCTGATCCCTTTTTAATTGTTAGCGATTAACCCGCGCGAAATACGTATAACAACCAGATAACACAAGAAAAGTAAGAGTTGGAATTGAGATTTTTAACCCTTGAACGCGAGGCACAATTGTTCATTTGGTGCTTGAGTTTGGATTCAAATTGGGTTTCGGCTCTTATGTTGAAACCAGGTCCTTCATCGTGCTAGAAGTCTAGAAAGATTAAAGGGTTGACAATGATTAATGATTTTTGAATTAGTCTAATTCGATAAGCCCAATCATCGTTCCTTTTAAATAAGCGTTGCGAATTTCTTTATAGAAGTCTGTAACTTAATAGAACCTCTCTCTCTCTCTTTTTCGGTAGTTGATACTAAAATGTTTCCGTGGATATTAAAATTCTATTTTCTTTTATTATTACGAGGCGATCTAGTGATTTTGACAAACATAAATTGGAAAAGGTGCCTCCAAATACGCCTGGAATTTGGACAAAGGAGCATGTGGAGGCGTGGAAACCAATTGTGGATGCTGTTCGTGGAAGGGTGGCATATTTTTCGTGCAAATTTGGCATGTAGGCCGTGTCTTTTATACTGGTTAGTAAAACTAATTAAGTCCTTTGATCACATATTTTAGAGAATTCGCAAGTTTTCAATCATATATTTTATTAACTTTCATCAAAATTTACTAAATTTTGATTTTAATCCTCACCAAACAAAGGCTAAATCGATATTATTTTACTGATAACAACGTAATATTATTTTTATTATTATTTTTTTTTAGGCTTTCAGCCAAATGGCTAAGATCCAATCTCGTGTGCAAACAAGGCAAGTTCGCCTGGCCATGGAGGAGATTGGTCTCCTCCTAGACGACTTAGGCTCGATGAGATCCCTAGCATTGTTAATGATTTTAGGCTGGCAACTCGTAATGCTATTGAAGCAGGTTAGCATGCAAAGTCTAAAAACTCATTTCCTTCCCACTTATTTTTAACCACACATTCTCTAAATAAAATAATTTTAGATATTACTACATTTGCACATGTTTACGGGTTTTAATAGAGTTGAGATCCATGGAGCATACGGTTACCTAATTGATCAATTTTTGAAGGATCGAGTAAACGATAGAATGGACGAATATGATGGGACCTTAGAAGACTGATGTCGCTTTCCATTGGAAACGGTAAAATCAATGAGCAACGAGATTGAAGCCAAATAGCCAATAGAGTTGTGATCAGACCATTCCATACACTCCTTTAATGGAGTCGGAAGACACAAATTCCGATGGTTTGGCCCTTTACATGGCTAATGTACTGAATAAATTCAACATTCTCTACCTTCATATGATTGAACCAAGGATGCTCGAAGGGGCCGAAAATGAGGCACCTCATAGACTCTTTCCTGTGAGAAAAGCTTTCAAGAAAACTTTTTATTGCTGCCGAAGGCTATAACAGGAGTATGGGCAAAAAAGCCATTGCCGAGAATCATGCAGACTTGATTGCATACGGACGCTGGTTTTTGGCTTATCCGGATTTGCCTAGACGATGTGAATTGGACACCCCTCTTAATAAATACTACAGGAGCACTTTCTATACTCCTCATCCTGTCGTTGGTTACACCGATTATCCATTCCTCGAAGAAGCTTAATTTCTTGTCTCATAATAGACAATTTTTATCATACGTTTATCATTATCAATTCTGTTTGGTCAAATGGCACATAAGCACTTCTTTTTTCTCAAACAGTGATCAAATAGAATCAGAAACCATTAAAAAGGGAGTAAACAGCGTTCACCAGAATTCCATAAAGAGAATTTTGTTAGAAGTCGATTATCTGTTTAAAGTTACTTTCAACATAAAAGGAAATGCAAATAACTACAATTAACTACAACAGTTGCTCTTCTGCTCAATTGGCTGTCCCTTGATTTGAACTGTGTTAGTCGACTTCTTGTTTGCACTTGGCTGGTTACCCATTCTGCAAAATGACTTGTGTCAGATAGAAAAAAACCATTGACAGTAAACTAGTGTTCAGCTTCAAAGATTATGCTAAAAATTAAAAAATCTAGACCAACTATTTATCAAAATTCACCTCAAATATTCCAAGAAAATAGGTGGAAGCAGAAATGAAACCATGCAAACACATAGTTTCCTGATTAGTCGGAATCAAGAGATAAAACATGGAAGGCAACTGAAATTAACCAATATAGGAAACAAATCCTACAAGAAAAATTACTTCCATTTGTGGTAATGAGAAACTAGTTAAGAAGTTCTGTAAATACCATAAAATTCTAAGAGGTTCTGACCTTCAGCACAATAATAGAAAGCATACGTAACAGATACAAAGTTCAAAACATGTCATAAGAGCAATAATAAGTTGATTAGTTGCTTTACTTTTTCTTAATCTCCCCGGCCATAGTTAAGAAAGCCTGCTCTACATTGATAGCATCTTTGGCACTTGTCTCGAGGAAAGGAATCCCAAGCTCGTCTGCAAATGCCTGCAATGAGGTCCAGTGTGAAATATGTGCATGATGAGACTTGGGGTTGAAGAGAGTTAAAAAATCAAGCATTTATAAACTTCATATAATGTTCTACACATTGAATATATTATAAAGTGTTAAAAATGGAAACAAGAATTATGAGAATTTTATATTTGTAGATAACGGCTGAACACAGTTTAGCTTTATATTTTTTTATATAACACATTGGAGCAACTAAAATTAATACCTTTGCTGTTTGTGTGTCCACAACTTTGTTCTCTACTAGATCACATTTGTTCCCCACTAAAAGTTTGCACACATTATCATTTGCATATCGGTCAATCTCATTAAGCCATTGCTTAACATTGTTGAAGCTCTCAATCTCAGTCACATCATACACAATCTGTTGCAAAATAAATGCACGTAAGATTACATATTAAGAAAGAAAAGCGAACAAATGGAAGTATTACAGGCAGGCAACAGTTGTAGCGAAAAATTAATGAAAACAACAGGTTTTTATTCGAGGACAGTGGTTTCCATATATTTCTAAAAGAGAAGCATAAGCATACTGGAGAAACATGGCCCAGTGAATAATTCTCAGATAAGACTCTTTATTTATAAGCTATCAATGTTTATGCAACTAAATTTTGGAGTTAATCAATTGCAGACAATCAAGACTCACTGCAAGGTATCCCAAGCAACCACTGTGAAACTTCTGCTCTAGATTTGTGAGTATGAAACAACTCCATTGACTGAAAAAGGCAAGGACTAGCGGAAAATCTGAACCAGTTGAATGAATATTTCAAGAACTACAAAACAATCCATGTAATGCCAACAATTGTGTCATTTTACAACCAAACAGTATAGTGAATACATCAACAAAAAAGTATGAAATGCATAAAAGTGATAATGTTGTTAAAAATTTGAAAATGAGATTAACACCCGAATAAAAACAATAAAAATAGTGAAAGCACCAGAAATAACATTGTCCGTTATGAGTTAGTCCGTATACCAGAACCTAAAAGGCGTACTGAAAACAAATGAGACACCAGTCATATACATGAAAGACGACAAGTTATAGATGCCCAATAGCAAAAGAATGCATAATGGCATTGGGAGTCCTGAAAGAGGAACTACCATATAAAACAACATTGACCTTCAACAATTCCAATCATCTTATTCAGGCATCAGTTCATAGTTTATTGCTTATTAAGGAGTTTTATTGTGCCCACACCTTCATGCAATAAAAACATCACAAACAAATGCCAGATATATGGTCAAGAAACTTGAGATCAACCACAAGTACATGAACATCTTTCTTACAATGATCCCATGTGCTCCTCGATAGTAACTGCTCGTGATGGTGCGGAAACGCTCCTGGCCTGCAGTATCCCACTAGAAAGACAGAGAACGGAAAATATTGTGTTAACTTAGTTCAATAATAACATTATTCAATACATCTACATGACTGACAATATTTATAATTTAGGATTCGTTGTTCATAAAATTAAAAATAGCTACCTTAGTCAATTGTCATATTTCATCATTACAAAATGAAGCACTGAATTTGGAAAGCATGCATTTACATTATTAATGGAGCTATTTCTCAACTGGTCTAACAAATGAGATCGAAAATACTATATGTACTACGAACGAAGTGTTAACATGGACACAGCAACACTTGGTTTCTCGAACGTGTAAGACAAAAGACGTCGGGAAAATTTCGAGTCTTTGACTAAAATTTTAAAATTATAGATTTCAATATTTTGCCTTTATTTGAATATTTAATTTATTTTACAAGAAAATTAAAAACTTTGAAATTTAGAAAAACATATAAAACTAGAACCGAGGTTCCGTGTGTCATATATTATGATGTGATAAAAATATAAGTAAATTACATCCAGTGATATGGAAAAGGAAGCAAAAACATCCTCAGCATTCACTCTGTGATGACAAAAAGAAGTAAAAGTTCATTCTGGAAAAGTAGGACTCATATAGATGATAAATTACAATTGTAGCTAACCATCGTGACAAGCAAGGGGTGAAATCCTAAACTGTGGCAGGCAGCAGGAGAAAAAGGGTCAGGTAATTGCAAGCTGAAGACAAATAATTCTCCTCTCTTGTATTCATTCCTTTTCTTTTCTTATTTCCTTTTAATAAATGAAGTAACTTTACTCTTTCAAACTTAAATCCAACAACTCGGAATGTAAACCACCTTGGAAAAGCAATCGTGCTTCTCAATATATAGAAACCCATGAACTACTGATGTGTCCCAAAACTACGTTACTGCCTTTGAAATAAATATGGGAGATCTAAACTCAAATTTCTTTTCCACAAGTACAAATACTAGAATATTTTTGCCATTACTCTTGAATTGCCAAAATTTTGCTTCTTCTGAGCGGAGAACTATTTTAAAAAACATTAATATGCTAATGAATCAAACTTGAAACTTCAGCTGACAATGCATCTCATAGGAAGTTAAGTTCGCCACAACAAACAAAGAGCTTAATATTATTCATCTTAAATACAGGAAAGCAGAGAGAATATACATGTTTCTTCAAACAACAAGGGGCTGAGTCAATTTAAAATAATTTATAAACATTTACTCATATAGAAGTCATTTAGTGTAATTAGCTCACAATTTGCAACTTGATTGTCTTCCCATCCAGCTCTATTGTCCTAATTTTCTGCAAAAATTATACTTAATAGTGTTAACGTCCAATAAATATTGTACCAAATAACCTAAAAAATTTAACCAAACATATTACAATATAAGCTACACAAACATATAGAGAAGTCAGGAGTAACTTACGAAATCAACTCCTATGGTGCTAATGTAACTGTCAACGTAGGAATCATCCTGAAATCATCAACCAAATAACAAAATAAACACGGAATAAAAAGTCGAACAAAAATTTCAAATAAAACCCACGATTGAACTGAAAATAATTAGCAACAATGTATTCCAAAGAAAGAGTAATCGAGTCGTAATTTTAAGCAAAGCTGATAATGGAGCTACAATATAATCCGCCAAGTCTTTAGAGTACCCCAAGTCAAATTAAAATTTCACCTATCAGATGAGAAATACAAATGTATCCAAATAAACATTGATAACTATTTTTTCAGAATAATGAAAAAAGAAATAAACAGATCAGTAAAGAGAAGGATATAAGCGACATACAGCGAATCTGAGAAGAAGACAAGATTTGCCGACAGAGGAGTCACCGATTAACAGAAGCTTGAACAAATAATCGCTGCCAAAAAGAAATAAAAAAAACAAAATAATAACAGGAATCTAAGAAAAATATGAACAAGATAGCTGAAAATGAAGTCTGAATTTCCTTACTATTCGTTGCTCATGCTTTCTTCTTTTCTCGTGAAGAAATGGAAAGAGTTTTCGTGTTTCTGTTGAGGCGTAGCTTTTGCGGGAGGGGAATGAAATGGACCGTTTGTTTATGCAATGGAAGCATACTTTAAGGTAAATTTATTCAAAGCTCCCCACACTTTCGTAGGTTTGGCAATCATGTCCTTCACCTTTAATTTGTAGCACCTATATCTCCAACATTTTAAACACTGGCTAGTAGTATGTTCAACTTACTAGAAAGTCTATTTAGGTCCTGTTTATAGGGACTAAAATTTATATTTTAATCTAAATCAAAATTAATAATTAATTTTAACCACATGTTTTAAGAAATTCACAATTTTTCAATCACACATTTATCAACTATTAATAAAAATTTACTAAAAATTTAATGTTAATTTCCAATAAATATGGGTTTAATTGTTAAATAATCATGCAACATACGCATGATTTTCGACTTGAGGATAAAATTCTCTAAAATTAGAAACAAGGATCCCCTAGTTATCTTTTATTTTATTTTTTTAAATTATTTTTCTTAGAACTTATTTTCAACCACAATATTTGGGATCCACAAATTTTATCAACTTTTCCATTATATATTTCATGAATTTTTATTAAAATCTATTAAAAATATATTTTCTATCGAAACCCAAAGGGCTTAATGTGATTTGAACAATCACCATGTCAATTTTCGAATAAAATATTTTACAGACCATTTTATTTTTTCAATCAGAAATTATGTAAGGCCCCGTTTGATTGCATGAAATTTTTCATGAAACTTGAAATTCGAATTCCAACTTTCACTTTTGGCCTGTTTGATTGACAAAATTTTCAAGAGATTTGATTTTTCATGAATTTCTAGGTACAATACTTTAAAACATGATTTTCCACCTTTTATTTTTCTAGAGGTAGGTGGTTTTTGGTTTTTCACCTTTTTTTTTTTTTTTTTTTTTTTTTTTTTTTTTTTTTTTTTTTTTTTGGAATAAAAAAAATTTTTGGATTTGCTGTTTGTTTTTTTTTTTAATTGTTGGCAATGAAACAAATTTTAGGAACAATCGTAAAAGATGATATCCCTGAAATTGACAATTTTCATATAAAATAAAGTCAAACGAACACCAAAATATAGATGATTTTTTATCGCTTTTTTTTCCCTTTTTTTTTTTTTGGTTGGCAATGAAAAGAAATTCTAGGAATATTAGTAGAAGTGGATATCCCTTAAATTGACAATTTTCATGTAAAATAAAGTCAAATGAACACCAAAAAATACTTTTACTTCAACATTTTCCACTTGGAAAATTATACCAATCAAACACAATAATTTACAATTATCAGGAAAACAATTTCTAGGTAATTCAATTCCATGGAATTCATTTTCTTTCCACCCAAATTTCATTTTCTTAATCAAACAGATCCTAAATGTCGTTTAAATTAGAATAGCACATGTACAATATTAAAAGGTTGAGAACATGAGTGTATAAATGACTGAATATAGAAGTAACTATCACACTTGTGAAATTTTGAGGACTTCTAGAGAAAGTTACCCTATAATGCTTTCTCAAGTTTCAACTTCATTTTCAACCTACAATTTCTCTTTCACGTTGAAAAAATTCTCCATGAATCACCGAAGACAAAAGCATACGAGGACAAAAGTAATAATTTTTTATTTTTTTTTAAATCACAAGGACAAAAGTAAGAGAAAATGATTAAAGAAGAATAAAGTGACCAGAATCTCACTTTCTTAGTTACTTAACTCCAATTATTCGTGACTAGTTGATTGTATTCCTTCTTTCATCTTTCGGTGATAAAGTATAGGATTTTTTATTTAACCCCTATTTGATTCGGATTAAAATATAATTTTAATTTAAGTCAAACTCAAACAATTACTATTAAAAATATTTTTCAGGAGCCCCACAACTTTTAAACCACACATTTTAAAAACTTCTATCAAAATCTATTAAAAATTTAATTTTAATCCACACCAGACACGTTTATTCCTCCTTCCTTGACTCAGAATGGCATGGACATGATTTGTGTCAATCTAGTGTCGTAAACAATATACATAAGCTAGCATAAATATTTGTTTGGTGGAAATTAAAATCAAAATTTTAATTAAAGTAAAAATCAATTTCATGAGATCCACATCCTTTTAACTACATATTTCATCTCTTTTATCAAAATTTATTAAAAAACTAATATAATCCCCACCAAACAAGGCATTTAATCATTTGAATATAAGAACATTTACATAAGCCCTTCAAGCTCTTTTATTATCTAAAACTATCCAAGTGTCTTTTATTTTCAATAGAATCTACAAATTTGTAGTTGCAAATGTAAAGTTTTTATTTTTCCATGTTTGCCCCTTATTTTTTAAGACTAATTTTTACTTTTTTTAAAACTCATTTTCATCCGTACAAACTTTTTATCCACTCATTTCATCCTTTTTTTTTTTTTTTATTAAAATCTACTAAAAATATAATTTGTCATCAAACCAAATTATACGTGATTTCTTAAAAGGTAATTATATTCTCGTTACAATTTTTGTTAGCAGTATCACATTTTAAATTCACTTAAGGCTTTCAATGTTTGCCCTTTGTAAAACTTTTGTCCATAATTTTTTTTTTTTTTTTTGGTTGAAATCCTATCTTCAACATTCTATTAATTAACAAATCTTGCCTTTGATGATGGTTTTAGTTAAAAAATAAAAATAAAAATTGTGTGATTTAAAATGGGAAAAAAACAATTTGTTACACTTTGGTATAGCTTTTTGCTTTTACTTTTACTTCTTGAAGAAGAGCTTTTGAAAGAAACTATTTTAATTTTTGTTTGAAAACTAGTATTTAAAAGCATTTTCTACTCCGAAAGTGCTTTTAGAAGAAGACACATTGAACCAACTTTTTCTAAAAACTCTTCTAACCACCAAAAGCACTTTAACAAAATTAGTCAAACAGGTCCTAAATCTCCTTTTGACTTTTCAAAAGTCATGCCAAACGGACTCTTTGTACTTACTATTTTTTAAAAATATGATTGAAAAATAATTTATATTATGCCTTTGAACAGACTTGTTTGGTAGAAACCAATATATATAAGAAATGAAGTGTACAAATTAATATAATGTAGAAGATAAGAATAAGCAAAAAAAAAAAAAAAAAAAGTTTAGGGGCTAAGTAAAGCTGCGGTCCTTGACACCTGGGATTGTGTGTTAGAATAATTTCAAAATACGGACTTTTCATTTGATTACAAAATTTATGTTTTATAAAACGGGTTTGACATGTAGCTCAAAATGATATTAGAGAAAAATTCATAACTAAGAGGTTAAATATCACCTATTTTAAAATTAAGAATAAATATTTCAAATTTTAAAAATCGGATATTTATTAATTTATTTACTTACTTATATTAAGGTTACAAATCAATGTAATTTGGTAAAAAAATTAACGATTTAGTTAGTAACATATTATTTTGATGACAAATCAAAATTTTATATGTCACAAATTATTTTATGGTCACAATTCAAAAAATTTACAGGTCTCGATTTGTTCAACGGTTACAAATTAAAAATTTATAAGTCACGATTTATTTATCGGTGACAAATCACAAATGCAATGAGTCACAACTTATTATCCAGTCACAAATTATCAATCATAAATTAATAATTTTTTAGATCACACATTATTTCTTAATTACAATTTATCTTTTTTCATTGGTCATATATTATTTATTGGTCACAATCAACACTTGCGATCACAATCTCACCATTGCTTCCAGCACCACCACCATCATCATCGCCAAAGCGACCACCACCTCAAACAAATCAACCTATCGCAAAAAACACCACCACATCGCCATCCACGGCCACCACACAATACATAAGTGCAAAAACCAGCCAAAATAATATCATCCCACAACCAAGTTTAGACTTTGCATCAACCGTAAAGTCGATCCACTACCACCACCAACATCACCACCATCTCACCGAATTACCAATAACACCACCACCTCCCCGTTGCAACAAAATCACTGTCATCAACAAGATCCAACAAAATCGTCCTTACGGTCGCCCAAGAAATCAACAAATTAGATCCACAACAAAAGCAGCACAATCATTGCAAAGCACCACCATTCAATACCGTCAACAACCAAATGCCACACCACATTACCACCACCACCATTGGCGGACCCTTATTGGGTCCTAGTGGGTCAAGTGACCCACCAGCTTTAGATGATTTTTTATTTTATTTTCTTTTTTGGGTGGTGGTGGTGGTGGTGGTTTTAATAGGCTCCAAAATTATGAAGAAAGAAGAGTATCCTTCCATTATCAAACAGCAATTCAATTGATTGTTTTCATTGGTAAATTTGTGATTATTGATAAACGGATTATTTTTCACTCGAATTAATTGTTTTAATTGGTTGTTTGTATCAAGTATAGAAAAATACTTTAAACATAAGTAATAAAATTATGGAACATTAGAATGCATAGAGAACAATTGTAATAAAATATCGAATATATTAAATTTTTAGTAACTTTTTTATAAGTTTGATTGTGCCCCCACTAACTCTAAATATCTGCGTCCGCCACTGGCCACTACAACCCGTACCACCAACAGAACTACCACGACGGCTAAACTTTCATCAGCGGTCACCAAGCTACAATAGGCGCAGAATTGTCATTGTGCACAGAGTAGTGGGAATCTTAGTGGTGATGTGAGCCCTGCCTCCACTGCGCACAGACTCGTTTCCCCTTTCCACGTATCCTCAGTTTCTCTAGATATGTTTTGTGTGGTGTTGATGGTTGAGGTGAAGATAGTGGATTTGCGGTGGTGATGGCATCGACAATGACAGTCGCTGCGACTTTGTGAATTTTTTTTTTGCTATGTGTGGTGGTTGTGGAAAGGTGGTTAAGTGTGGTGTTGGCGAGGTAATGCCAACAGTTGTGGTGGTGCTATTGAGGTGGCAACGACAATAGATTGTTAGAAACAAAAGAGAATGTGAGACAGAGAGGAGAGAAAACAGATAGGATGACAATGATTAGGGTTTTGGTGTGTGTGGTTGGGTATGGGTTAGATGGGATGAATATGTATATTTAATTTTGTAAT